GAGAGAGAGAGAGAGAGAGAGAGAGAGAGAGAGAGAGAAAGATATATATGTATGTACAGCACATTGTTCTCTACTAGAGCTTACTAAATGCGTGATCGAACCGAGTACTCGTCCGAGAGTAACCTGCAACAGCGAAACAATAGCCTGTCACTGCCTCCCTGGGGGTCATGTACTTACATGTCTAGGTTTTTTAGTCACGAGGAGCAGAAGAGGGAGAAAGAAAGAAAAAAAGAAAAGAGAAAGAAAGAGAATGAGGGAGAAGAGCGTCTTAGATCGTCTAACGTGATATACTCCTGTAAAGCAAAAGTTCAGAAAGTAGAACATACTGATTCATCCAGGGCTTTTCACGAATTTCTTATGATCCCTTACACCACCGATGATATCTTTCTCAGCTAGAACGTATCAACAATCTCAAATCGATATCTATTTGACAGAAAGGTCGCTGTAAGTGTCACGCTTTTAAAATTATTTTTACTTTGAAAAAGGTTTTACTGCACGTTTGATCGATAGAGCAAGATTGATGATTGCTGCGTATTAAATTATATTCATATGACAAAAAATGAAATGTAAAGGTTATCTTTCTTTTATACTATTCTAAAAAAAAATAAAAATTTTTTAAAAAAGTAAAAAGAAAAGTAAGATTTTTATATTCGTCATTTACAGAGATCTTCCTTTATGTCAAAACTTCCTTTATAGGTACTCCATGATTCATATAAATTTTTAAATAAGTTACTAATAATGAAAAAAATATTGTTAAGAGAAACTAAAATTGTGTGTTCTTGTTTTTTTATAGATGTTCCTGTTTTTTAAATAGATATTGCATATATCAGACATTGCATAAAGCGCAATAAATATTCCCATAAAGAAAGAATAACATTAAAAAAATATAAGAAAAAGTATGAAAAAAGGATGTGTGTAGATTATTCGTGATTTTCTATTACTTATGACAAACAAATATTACATAAATAAAATCTAAAAGTATTCAATTATCCGTCTTCGTTAGATTGCGTTCATCTCAAGTTTGAGACGATGATTTTATGGATAGTTTCGTGATAAGCCGAGCGGAGTGGGCATGAGTTACAAAGTTTGCATTGTACTCTGAGCAAATATCAATTGATTTGATAGAAGCGGATCGAGCGCAAAGTATTGTCGCAGAGAAGAACTGGCGAAAGACAGAGAGAGCGAAGGAAGAAAAGAGCGGAGCGTTAAATTTACAGCAAGAAAACTCGGCAAGCGATGCTTTGCGACAACTGGAGCTACTCGCCATGCAATCTGGATATTTTTATCGATTACAATTGGGCTCCGCGTGGACGAACCGTATGACCAAGAAGTCGTTTACTCGATGTCGAATCGCGTGTATGTGGCTGATTCGCCACGCTCTCGAACCTTTGATTATTCCACTCGCAGACGCAAGTCCCATAACAAAAAATCCCGAAGAAATCTGCATCGTCTTTGGCGATGAAAAACAAATTGCAGGCGTGTCAAATAGAAATAATCTATCTAAGCAAAAAATTGTCGAGCAAAAAATTGCGCACGCAGTAATAGACTTTTTTATGCAATAGCATGCTTTGAACACGGTAAACGCAGATATGCCTAAAAATATTAAAATACATGATGAAATATTATGATAACATGTAAAAAGTTATTCCTCCTGGTCGTTTTACACGTAAGGCCATAACGTTTACTGTATTCCGACGTATGTTATTGCAAAAGCTCCCAAAATAGAATTTTTACACAAAAGCGAAAGTGTTTTGAATATGGCAAATGCTGATCTTGGCTAAATTCACATTTAGCCATTTTTACGATAAATTTTAAATGGAAATTGGTAAAATTGAGAGACCGTTTTGCGCTGGATGCGATATATGCTTTACCGTTTACCGTGTTTGAAGTACACGGTGTCGCGAAAAATTTCTGGTGTAACGACGGACGAATTGCCGGATCTGTGAGTTCCACATATTTCGCCGTCTCGCGGAAATGTGACGACTGTCGACGGAGCGCTTCAAACTGCACAGCGATCGAAAGACAGAAGAGAAAAAAACGAGATGCGATGCAGCGTGAGGCGCAATAACGTGAAGAATCGAAGTCCAACATTTACAATTAAAAAAAAAAAAGTAATCAACGATTAGGACCTAAGATTCTCGCCGACTTACTCGGGATACTTGACGTTGGGCAGAGCCTTGAGGAAGCAGCGTTGGCGTAGTATGCCTTCCCACAGTTGCACGCCCACGATGCCGAATATGAAGAAGACGAAGAAGCACAATAACAATACGTTGCCCAGCATGGGAAGGGTGTCGAGCAGCAGCATCACCAGTATCCGCATACCTATCAGAGGTGTTTGTAAAAATAACGCTTGATAAGCGATTAATAAATGTGTAATGTCTCGTCGGTCTCATTGATATCATATTTCGTTTTCAAGTCTTTGAACCATGACAACATCGATTCTGCTTGCGGATATTCTTCCTCGGATACTGGAACAATCTGATGCTATTTCGATTGTTTTCTTTCTACACAACACAATTTGAAAGTATACTGCGCGCGGAATGACCTAAATTCTCGATTTTAGTTTTAATAGTAAACACACTGATTGTTATTCTATTCTATTTATAAGAAAAAGATTTTTAATGAATCGTTATTTGTAGAAATTTATTAAGATACAATGTTAAATATCATTAGCGTTTAAACTCCAGGAAAGGAAATTGGAGATTATAATAAAATTTTGTCATTCAACTGAAGAATAGCTCACGCAAAAATTTTTTTAACAGTTTACGATTAAAACATTTTAACAGTATGAAAATAGAATTAAGATATAACATACTTACTGATCCATCTATTATTAAAATTAAAGTCGCGAATTCAGGTACGCGTGTATAGTACACGTGTCGCTTACTGAATTTCGATTTGCAGCTAAATGCCTTTTCTTGCCAACTTTACTTGTTCTTGTTCGATATGATTATATATACTCTTCTGTCTACGTTTCAATTCCAAGATAAAATCAACCGTGAATGCGTTACGATCTATACGCGGTAGTTATGCACCGTAAAATCGACGATGGAAACAAACTGGGGTCAACTATCAAGATTTCCGACATATTACAAAGATCCCGTTACTTACTTGGTATTCGATTGATCGCTCGTAATGGCCTTAATACTCTTATCGTTCGTATGGCTGACAGATTCATATTTTCCACGTTTAGGCAGTATTCCAAAGCGCTACAATCAAGTTGCTTTTTAAATTCTTTTAACACATCTATTTTATAATTTATCGCAGTAAAATTTTATAATTAAATAACTCATTTAATATAATTTACGCATAAAATATATCTAATTGCCTTGAATTTAAATTTAAATATGTGAGTTTAATTAAAAATTGTAATACAATTTTACACAACAGTTTAAATACAAAATAAAGTTTTATAATCATAGAACAATGTCAGTTAATTATTATAATTATTATAAAATTATTACAATTTTTTATAATACTTTCATAATATTTAATATTAAAAAATTTTTAATTTCTGAAATTGTTACCTATATCATAATGTAATATCATAGATTCTCAAAGATTTTGTTGCAAAATTGTTTTTGCAAAATTTTTTTAAACAAAGCAATTCAAATTAGGAAACAATAAGGTATCTAAATGAAATACTTACCCAGCCACCACTATAAAGAAATCTAATCTATTCCAAGAATCCGCGAGATAAGTTCCTTTACCCCAAATCCCCATCGCTACCATTTTTATGGTCATTTCCAAGGAGAAGAAGGCAAAAATGATATCATCGAACATCTGGAAGAAATAGATAGGAAAACACAGCTTGATTAGAACTGGGTATGATCGACGTAATACACCGTGATTGATTCAGGACACTCTATTAGAGAATTCGATTAACGGCTGTACCATGTCGATAATTTTCTCATCTCTTTCTCATCCCATCCTTCTTCTCTTCCTCCGTCTCTTCTTCCACCACCTTTGCTGGACTAATTGCGAACCGACCGGAAACCGTGTCAAGATGCGCAATCGATTAATTTGCTTATCAGCGCGTTAGATAATCACTTAACGCGAAAGTTCCCCGTAAATTGACTCAAATTGAATTGTAAATATGTATTACCATTCAGATATTGGACTTTCTCCCTGGCACGTGAATATATAAATACGATACTTCGATACGAAGGATCACGAAGAGAGCCATTTGTATGGAAATGGCTATTACTTAAATAAAATCGATACACTACACTTTGCTTTTTCAAATCCGATGTCATAACACAGATTACTCTGGTTCTTTTTCAATTTTTTTTCAGTCGAATGTTGTTAAAATATGATTACGTACCTGCAATATTTTACATCGATTCGTTACGCACTGGTCGTCCACGCATGGCTGATACATCCCGAGCGTGATGCAGTTCAGAAGGATCACCATCATGCTCACCCTTTCGAACCACGTGAGTCTTTGTTAAGGAATAGATATAGCAGGATATTTTCCAATCTCTCCTGATTAAAGGTTATAGATCGCAAGCGAAAACAACATGTTACTGCTACATTAAACTAATATGAAGGAGAATCTTTAAGTATATGAGACACAAATGGCGTTAAAAATGTACAAGAAATATATTGGAAATATCTCGCATTCAATGCATTAACAATTCTCTTTAAACTGTAATAATTTACTGTACCTAAAGAATTTTTAATTTTTATTCTAAATAAATAAACCTTAAATTTTTTATAATATAATTTGAATGTAATTCCATTATTTGTGTGAAAATTATAAAGTGTCGAAATATTATTGCGAGTAGTTAATTTTATTACTACATATGCAGTAAAAATAAAAATGACGTTAATGGAAAAAAATTACAAAATTGTTCGTATTTGTTGAACAATCTACATCATGATTATTAAGATTACAATCGTTATCAATAATTGAGCATATAATATTATTCTATTACATTAAATTTAATCAATTTATATAATTTTTGTCTAGTCTCGATCGATGAAAATCAAATTGTCGTAATCGGTGCATTGATTGTCGTTGCCAAGATTATCGTCGAAATATCATGTTTTTTCGTAGCGCCCTTTTTAATGTGTCTATTTAATAAGCAAACAGATTATGCGATTACATCTAATCGCGTGTCTCTGCATGTGGAAAAAAATACCGCAAACGTGTAACACTGAATAAAACATTACTATTCGAAACACTGAATAAAGTATAAATTACTGTCACGGAATAAAGTATTACTATTCAGTCGTTACTACATTACACCATTATTTATTCAAACAATTTTTTTTATTATCGCGACACACGAGTGCTAACATAATGAAATTTGATATGAAGTCAAATCGAAATCGATAATTAAGAACTTGTATGTGCAAACGATGCGATGATGCAAGTTTCCGATCGTATAATTAGCAGCTATCAGTTTTCGGTAGTTACGGCTTTTAATAGGGTTGTGTATCTCAATATTGAATGCGATTATTAATTATATATACAAATATCATTTTCAATCTCTCAATCCTCTAAATACTAACTGTTAATATTGCACGGTAAATAAATTTTACATATAACATAAATTTCATGTAAAAGTGTTTACAATATATATGTTTTTTGACAATATCAATTAATTTTTTTTTTGATGTTCTGGATTTTGTTGAAGATAAATATATTTTATTTAAAGATATATCATTGTTCTATTTATATCCAGGGGAGATATTTTTAATTATTCTTTCCACTTCTGTGATATATTTTACGACATGATATACAATATTTTCAAGAACATAATATTTTATCATGATATCTTTTTAATGCGGAGATAAATTGAGTGCGTGACGTGAGGGAATAAGAAATCGAGATACCGGGGATAAGAGGAATTGATTTTTTAGCAGCTGCGATTCGTATTCTACTCTTAAGTTCGCTAGACGACGTTACACGATGCTCATCAGTGTCGCGTGCAAGCAGCTATTCGTGTGTTAGCCGGCTACTGACATCGAGTTATACGCGAGGCCGACGCCCTTCTCAAAAGGTTAAAAGTAAGAAATGCTGTTAAGATAAAGATTATCGCAATCTCTTATCCTGACTAAAATTCTTTTCAGCGCTACTTGTTGCACTCAATTAATTATAAGCCATCACAAAGACGATCTGTGTCTTCGAATTACATCGAATCGATCGATATGTCTGTAGTCACTGAGAATAAATGGGCCATAGTGTGACATCTGAACTTGAACCCGTCTATCTTCATAAATGACCTTCGTTACTTTTTACGATTTCCGGACGATAAATGGTTTGACCGAGCGCGTAGGAAATTGGTTATAGACTAAAAATAAATCGATCGTCGCTTATCACGCGAATGGAACGTTTCGTACATCTTGATGCTAGATGGAACAATTTTTTGAGATATATTTATAGGGATATAGAGGGATATTATAGCCTTCAATTAGAGACTAAAGAGTAATTAGTCTAATGAAAGTGGTAAAATTGACATTCGACTACGGTTATTCGTCTACCCACAAATCAATTCACCGTTAAGCTCCTTAAAACATTTCCATTTAATCTCAACAAAAATTTCATTATAGCTATAGAGGGTGATATATTATTCGCAAAGCTCTTAGTAAATAAAATATAAATCTTATGTAATTCATTAATTGATTAATTAATTAAAATGGATTTTTTAAGAAAAATTTAATTTAAATTATGATAATCTCTGTTTATACATATCACGATTATAAGATTGGACTTGTTTCCAAAAATAGAACACTTTCGGGCTAAATAAAATGCTTCTCTTGGTGACGCAGACATCTGAAAGAGTTTATTAAAACATCCACAATTCAGTATGTTAAAATGAAAAAGTATGTTAAAATGATGAGCTTTATTTTTCAAACGTCAGCTATAGACGTTTTTACAACTTTTATGTTGTACAGATCACTATTTCAAAAGCGTTCTCTTTTTGACCCGAATCAAACGCAGAATCGTACAATCTACGCAGTTTCTGCCAGATGCGTGATAGATTGCCGTACGATTGCAAAAGCCTGCGAAGCGACGGTGTATCATAATAGCGATCTATCACACTGACACGATCTCGCGTGCCAAGCGCCAATATCGATGAGCGTTTGTACGAGCGGCTCTTAACCACCCCGTATGCTTACATAGACGCCCGCGAGCACCTGTAACGTCTCATCTCCGACGAAGAACGAGGGTAACTATGGAAAAGGAAGCCGGAAGAACCCTCGCATTAAAAAGCATCATGTTGATGATTTTGACAGGCGGATTGCGAGGAACCTTCTGCGTTATCTGCCCCCACAAACGTGCTCAGAATGTGTTCGATCAATAAACTCGGTTGGCCTCCACCAAGCTCTCTCTCTCTCTCTCTCTTTCTCTCTCTCTCTCTCTCTCTCTCTCTCTCTCTAACGTACAACTCTCGCATTTTGACGATCATCGTCGCCAGCTAATGCAAAGAGGAGATTGATGATAGACATTTGTACATTCCACACGATGACGGGTATTCTTTATTAGGACCGAAGATTTACGTTCCTCAGAAGCTGACTGAGACAAGGTACCTAGAAGTAGACCAGAGCAGCAGATATTTCAGAATAAAAAAAGTATATTGTCTTGGAAGAAGAATAAGTCTCTACTGTTCTTTATTTTAATCTCAAACAACGAAGATAATAAAATGGGATCTGAAAATTTTCGTTGTCGGTTTAGCTCTAAGTCAAATAATCATAAGAGTATGACAAAATTATTGCACTAATTGCAAAGCAAATTTCATTTGATCAGTTAGCGGTATAATACGATATTTTTAAATTTAAGTTTAAGTATGTGTATATTAATTACATTTTATATGTATGTCAACATAAAATGTCAGTGTTACATCACTGATGACCTTATGATACTTAACATATTAAAGCCGGAATAATTAATGTAGATGTATAAAGGATATCTGTATAATTATTAAAGTCATGCAATTAACGCAAACAAAGACACGATATCTGCATATATCAAAATGATTGCTCTGTTATTCTTCCAGCAAATGCTCCAGTTCACACACAATGGGATTCTGCATTGGTGTGCACGGGTGGCACGTCGTCCGACAGGTGTATCCGCTCAAGTAGAAAACAGCTGAATGTACGAGAGACTTTACGCGCTGAACCTAATGGATCGTGTTGTTGTTGCTGTTAACTTTCATCCCCTTACGAGGCATGTACCGCTCTTATTACCAAGTCTTCTCCAGTGGGTTAATCATTTATAATACAGTTACATGAAGAAAGGACAAATGACTGCATCCCTCAGCCATCGAATTCACAGTGTATTAATACTAATAGTTTTTAACAAAGTAAGTATATATTATTGTTTTTTATGTCGTTGGACGATTATTGTTATTATATTTATCAAACATTTTATTTATTTATTTTATCTCAATTAGACCTTATCATATATTAGATAATTCAAGATGTGATTTGATTACAATCGCACTTTAAGGTTTCAGAAACAATTCATCTTTGTCATAAACATGTCATTAATCTTATAAGTGATCAAATAATAAGCATTAATCTCTATTAGATATTATATATTCATGTTGTAAGTAAGAAAATATCGTGATTCTTTTACACTTTCTTAAATTCATAGTATAAATACTTTCAGCAATATTATGCCTTTAATCTTAATATATGGTTTTAATATGCATAAGTAATTTTAATTCCCTGCAAAATATTAGATATCAAAACGTCATATTAAGAAAATAATGTACTTAAAGAGATTAGTGAAAAAGCAATGTAATAAGATACATAAAGAGAAAGAAAGAGAAGAGGGGGGAGAGAGAGAGAGAGAGAGAGAGAGAGAGAGATGGCAAGAGTACATTTCATTTTCATACATATATTAAAGCACTTTCTCATTATTATCTATTCATCCGATTGCTTCTTATTCACAAGAAACAACGTAATGAAAAAAAAAGAATGTATGCTGAAAAGCATTATACATTTTGTTGAAAATGCGAACATAGACGACAGAGTAAATAATAATAACGGCAAAGAAATGGAAACAACGATGGAAAAGACAGAATTATATCAACTCCATTCCCCGTTATATACAACTTGTCCCAGAAGCATTAAATGTTTTTCTAGAACATATTTTTCCAACGGAATGAGATATTTGGAATTTCTTCGTAATAAAAAGAGAAAGATAGCTCATTGAAAAGTTTCAATTTTTGGTATTTAATGAAAGTATATGACGCTTGAAATTTTTGGTTTTTCAAAATAAAATTCGGTTAAAATCACAAAGAAAGAAAAAAATTTCTTTTTAGTAGAACGGATTATCTGTACTTTTTATGTTAATAATACGATATAATATATTTAATTATAATTTACTGTACTGTACACAAACTCTGCAATATTTGACGAACTACTGCCGATATCTCGCCATTAAAAATAACTGCTCTTTTTTTATAAACGTTCATAAACG